TGATTTTTAGTTCACAAACACTTGTTGTAATGACTAACTACTCCTGACATTTTGGAGATGTTAGCTCTTTATACAGTAAAGTTACAGCGGGATACAAATAATATCAGGCTGATCCTGCCACAATTTGTTCCCTTGGTTCAAATCACGGACAAACAGTATCCCACAGCTGTTTATGTTTTTAAACTCCTTTTGCACAGAGAGGCATTTTTTGAAAAATGTAGTGATAGCAATGTTGAATATTATTATGCAGGAAAAAAAAAAGCAACTACACATAAAATAATCACACCGTGACGCCTCTGCCTTTCTAAATAGAGGAACAGTAACTGCGTGTGTGTATGTAAGCCTGTAAAAATCGAAGATAGTCAGATTAACAGTATTTTGTCTCTATCTGCCATTCTGCAATTCATCTCATGTAAACAATAACGTGGCGCACAGCGTGACGTGGATGGCACATACCTTTGACGTCATGTGATGACCTCTGTATTTCTCGTCCACAGGTAAACACAACAAAGGAGTTTTAAAAAATCTCAGTTTTTGGTGATTCGAAATGCCGATTACGTGTGGACGAAACAGCTGTGTTTTCAAAAATACCCGTGTAGGTGTGGACGCAGCATAAAAGAGTTAGTAGTTTATTTTATTACTACCTGTAATTTATTGTAGATTACTTGTATTTGCTTAATTGTCTACTAAATGTTTGAGGTGTGAAATAAACCGAAATGGAGCAAAATAAGGGTATGTGTGGTTGGAGGATGTGTTTGTGCGCGTGCGCGTGCACACGTGGCAGGAAGGGGGGCGCGAACATGAATTGCTACATCAGCATCCAGTCAAGTACTGTAGTATTGCTAATGACCTAATAATTTTATTCTGGAGTGTTGGGGTGAGGACATGTCTTGGGCCTTGTCCACCTCTCCATGTCCATCACATGACTGTAGGGATATGGAGGCGGGTTTCCTCATGCCCTGAGTTTGATCAAACTAGAACCGCATCATATTTTGTCAAGTGTCCGCCAAAGCACTGAAGAGAAGGATGGTATAATAAAAAAAAAATTAATTAAAATAGATAATAATAATAGATTGGATTTATATAGCGCTTTTCAAGGCACCCAAAGCACTTTACAATGCCACTATTCATTCATTCCTCCACACACTGGTGGAGGCAAGCTACAGTTGTAGCCACAGCTGCCCTGGGGCAGACTGACAGAAGCGAGGCTGCCATATCGCCCTCTGGCTAACACCAGTAGGGTAAAGTGTCTTGCCCAAGACACTAGGACAGAAAGCCCAGGGATCGAACCGGTGACCTTCCGATTACAGATGCGCTTCCCAACTCCCTGAGCCATGGTCGCCCCAATAAGATGAAAACATTATAGAAAACATTGTGACACATCAATATATGTTTGTAAAAATATATGTGTAGATGCAAATATGCACATACATATTCAAAAGTGTACACAATCATACACACACGCACAAATATGTGAACATAAAATACGTGTATACGTGTACATCATCCAATGAGACAAAAAACTAGAATAGCTGAAACAGAATAAAAGTGGTGTCAGAGAGATCCGAAAGCCTTGAAAAATAGGTAGGGAATCAGATTTGATTGTAAGATTTCCAAGAAGGAAGAGCATTTTATAAAAGATGAAAGACTGTTCCAGAGTCACGTGGCGGCAATGGAGAAAGCCCTGTCACCTCTAGATTTGCAACGGTAGGCATATTGTAGCAGCTAGTTAAAAGGGGAATCATAGTTTCTTCATTTATTCACACAACAGGTTAAACCATGTTAGCCAGCATGCCACAGGGCCACAAATTACAGCCCAGTGCCAGAAAAGTAGCTGCGATTACCTGCTTGGCACTGTGCACACCGTCGGCATCTTGAGAAGGCAGATACTTGAATGCAGTGACCAGCCAAACAGTAGTACATGTAGAGGGCAGCAAGGGCTCGCGTTAGGCTGGTGAGTCAGGCGTGGAGTGGACTCTATATTTAGACTATAATGACACTCCTGGAACATCAGCATCTGTTCTCTGGGAAGCAAGGAAAGCTGTGATGAGAGGTCAAATAATTTCTTTCTCATCACAGAAAAAGAAAGAGGAAAACAATTCAGGAACTAGAAAAAATCCCCCACATCAAATCCTTAGAAGAAGCCTACGCAAAACAAAACAAGAATTAAATGAAATTATTGATAAACCTCTGATGGAGATGATACGGAACCAGCAGGTGCAGACACCTCTGGCGGGGACGAGACAGAACCGGCAGGCATGGAGACCTCTGGCACAGACTAAGTTGGTTGTCCTTACCTTTGAGCTGCAAGCTGAGCTGATAAATGAACTGCAGGCTGCGCTAAGGGCTGCTGAGCAGGGGGCTGAGCTGAGCAGGGGGCCGAGCTGAACAGGGTGCCGGGCTGAGCAGGGGGATGAGCAGGGGGCCGAGCTGAGGGCGGCTGAGCAGGGGGCCGAGCTGATAACTGGGCAGCTGACTGAGCTATAAGCTGAGTGAGAGCAGTCTCAGGAAAAGCAATCTTAATGACAGCCGCTGTCCTCACTTGCTGCACAAAAAAAAATAGGCCCAGAATAAATAGTCACAAAGTCTGAAGAAACAGAAAAGGTATCATTTTCACTCACTACAGCTGGCTGCTTTGACACTCCAAAGGGTGCTGGGCAGTGCATCCTTTGCCGAGCTGGATAGGTAACCGGTAGCAGCGGGGGGTGAAGATGAAG